ACGAACAAAGATAATACAATTTTATTAAGAAGTGATAAACTTGTCTCCGTTACAAGTGAAGTGGCCTACGCTCTTAAATTAGTTGGTGTATAATAAATGAAGACATGTTCGCGTAAATGTCACATTGATGTCGGGGACACTGGCCACGGCTGGGTGCCCACTGCCCATCGACCCTTGGACCATCGCGCGCTCCACGCTAAATCTTACGGAGGATCTAATTTTATAATACATTGCGCCCGTGTTTACCGGAACCCCTTCTATCAAGGGTGATTGGGTAGATCGAAGATAGGCGAAGAAATATTTCTTCTTATAGTATTGAGAAAAGAAAATTGTGACTGATTCTTGATGAAATTGAATTGAAAAATGTATGACACTATAAGCAGTAAGTTGTCTATGAGATATCATAATTAAATAACTAAAAACTTAATTTTCTAACGCCTCCAGTTACATCAGTCCCACGGCGAAACACAACGCTGTACTTGTTTCACGCCGGTTTCCTATGAGACCGTGGTGTTACCTGTCTGTGTCCTACACTTACACTTTACGGGAAAATGCGTAAATTATTGAACAAAAGTGTACGAAAGAGCGCCGCTGTGTGCAGTACGAATGTGTTTATGTGTAATTTAAATTCAAAATGCAATGAATAGCGTTTCGTCCAAAAGACAACAGCTACAGGTGGTGTAACGACCTCCATGCGAGTCCAATTTAAAAATAAATGAGTTCGAGAAAAACATAGAGTAGTGTCCTAAGAAAGGTAGCCGGTACAATGTGTATTTTTCTTTAAAACACGGTATCGGAAAGTACGGAATGCACACATTGGTATATGAATGGTATTTTCTCTCCTGAATGGAGTAGTTATAACCTATATTTGGAAAATAATTCTTGTGTGAGTGACTTTGGTCGTAGTTTCCACGGGTCAGCTAGACTGAACATAACTTTACATGCTATGTTAAATATAGATAATAACATTATGTATAAGTGAAATGTCTAATCAACTGGTTGAACAGTTTTTAGTACAATAGCTCTCAAATCAAATCAAAATCATTTATTCCAACTTAACCATAAATAGGTACTTTTGAAACGTTTAACTAGAATAGTAGTCTGTCAGTCTGTTCGTCTGTGAAGCTAGGTGCGTTTTCGCTTCGCTTAATAGAATATAATTTGGGTTTTCGATTTTATCATTGTACTTCCTACTTAATGAGAATTCAACTCATAGCCGATGGCAAATAAGGGAAGTGCGTTAAATAAATCGATGTTATAAAAAAGATTAAGTATGCTCCACACATATCCGCCCGATAAATCTTTTAAAACAAGTTAACCTGTATGTACCGCTGTTGGGTTGTACAAACTTTTGTTTAGCCTCCCAAAAGGCTTGTCCCAATAAAACTTTATATACAACTTATATTACTTGATTAATAAGAAAAGTTATCTATTTGACGGTTTATTTTAGTCATATTTTGTTGTACTTGTAATAGTTACATAATGTACGAAATAACGTGTTTGTACTTCAAATACGTTTTAGTTAAGTGTACTTTTAAGTGCTTGAATTTAGTTTCAAATTTATAGCATTTTTTCTTGGTTTAAGGTCAAGATTAAAAATATCAACTTGCTAAATATAAATAAAAAAATAAAACAAAACCATACACTACGGTATTAGGTAATGTACTATTAAGTATGTATGTATAATGTAGACGTACTGTTACATCATTTATTTCATCTATGTTACACTATTGACAGTATGTAGTCGATAAGAGAGACTTTTTACACATATGCACTGGTTAAATGCTTACATTAATTTATTTGATGATCAATTAATTTTCTGTAATTTTAATAGGAAGAAAGTAACAAAAATTGTAAACATTAAATAAAAAAATTGAAGTATATGACTTTAGCTATACACTAATTGTAAAAAAAAATATATTCAAGATAAATGTATTTATAAAAGGTGCATAATATTTAAGATGCAATTAATTAATTAATTTATTTTCTATTACGTATACCTATACAATTTATACCAATGTTTGTTTAAATTGTAATCCATAACCATAACATGAATGTTGTAACAGCGAAAGCAGTTGAATGCGAAGTCTTAGCATTGAGACATGCTCAGACCGTAATAATCTCTTACGCTGAATATAACACAGTATGATAACATAGTAGGGACATGCTGTATGATATCGCAAACATTTATATGTAGGTACCATGTAAACAAATTATTCACACTATATTAAATTAATGTCCATTTATAAAACTTTTAGAAAATCCTATTAAATAATAAAATGTGGTGTAGCGGCACTATCACGTCGCTACATTACTTAGATACGATAGAGATAAGACATACATGTTAATTGTTGCACGTTTGTTAGGATAGCTAAATCTGAAAATCTCACGCATCTTCTTAGTATATAAGCACCAGCAATTAAAGTAATAAACAGACCTTAACCATCTACAGTCTCATTATTTACCTTGCCACGAAGTCTGGCAAATTGGTGACCCGACGAAGAACAATCAACATGACTCATTCACCCTGCAAATCAAGCAGCAGCCAACAAGAAGCCTTGGAGATATCAGCCGGAACCGCCATTTTCCGGAATTTTGGAGGGACCAACCCAGATTATGGTTTAAGCAACTAGAAGCCATAGTAGCACCACAGAAGCAAGGAGACGATTACAAGTACTATACGGTCATTGCAAAACTGCCAAAAGAAGAAATAATACAGGTTAGTGACCTCATTACTTGCCCACCGCCAATAGAAAAGTACAAGGCTATCAAAGAACGCCTAATCAGTTGCTATGAGGAATCAGACCAACGTCAGCTCCAAAAATTATTGTCTGAAATGGATCTCGGCGACCAGAAACCATCACATCTTCTGCGCAAGATGCGGACCCTGAGTAACGGAAATATCAGCGACGAAACCATCAAACTTCTATGGTTGAGGCTTCTGCCACCATCAGTGACTTCGGTTCTAGCAGTCACAGAAGACATAGATGTGAACAAGATGAGCCAGATCGCGGACAAGATATTAATAAATTCAACACGTACAGAGGTGTCAGCTGTAAACGGAAACAAATCTGGCGACGATACAATGTCATGCATACTAGCACAGTTAGCAGAAATGCAATTGGAACTAAATGCAATTCAGCAAGGTCAAAAAAACTATCGACGCAGCACTCAAAGTTATTCCAATCGTCGGCATTTCCTACCACAGTCGAGTTCAAGAGAAAGAAGGCACTTTTGTTTTTACCATGGAAGATTTAAAAAATATGCACAAAAGTGTGTTCAACCTTGTGATTGGAAACAGGATCTCAACTCAAGGAAACAGGGAAACTAATTGAAGCACGGACAACGGCGGAACTCTGTGCTATTCACCCGTCCAACCGCCTCACTATTACCGACCGAAAAAGTGGTATGAGATTTTTGATTGACACGGGAGCAAATATTTCAGTTATTAGCAAGCCACAGAGACATTCACTAATACAAGATGAACAATGTATACTTTATGCCGCCAATGGTACAAAAATTAAGACATATGGTGAAAAAAACACTCTCTTTAAACTTCGGGCTACGAAGAAACTTGGTATGGAACTTTGTCATCGCCGATGTAACACAACCGATTATTGGAGCAGATTTTTTTAGAGCATTATAAGCTATTAGTCGATATAGCTGGTCGAAAACTCATAGATAGGGTAACTGAGCTGACAACGCCCGCAACCCTGATCAAATCGACGCAGCAAACAATCCGCACTATTAACATTGAGACGAATCCACGCATTACTCAACTATTAAATGAATACGAGAGAACAATGGGCAACCAAAGCTCCAAAGATCAAATCGTATATAACTCCGACAGTTGCCTTAATCAAAATGAAGCCGACCATCTCAAAAGTCTTGTCCTGGAAGAGCTACGGTGGACGAGAAACATTGCAATTGGACAAATCCTCATCACAATTGGCATCCTTCTTCTCTACGGAATACTGAAGACCTTAGACAGAAGAGTGAAAACAATAGCAAATGCAGTGGATAGTTCATCGACTGCCGCCGCCGTCACAACAAAGGCAGCAGTTTTTATTTCCTTCGAATTAGCAACAATGACATTACATTACGCATAGGATGTAATTTATCAGCAAGGTTAAGTTATTATATAATTAGGTACATACTAATTTTTTTCAATTTATATGTTAATTATTTTTAAAAGGGGGGAGTATATGTAGCGGCACTATCACGTCGCTACATTACTTAGATACGATAGAGATAAGACATACATGTTAATTGTTGCACGTTTGTTAGGATAGCTAAATCTGAAAATCTCACGCATCTTCTTAGTATATAAGCACCAGCAATTAAAGTAATAAACAGACCTTAACCATCTACAGTCTCATTATTTACCTTGCCACGAAGTCTGGCAAATGTGGCAATGTAGCTTTTTTCAGTGACTTTCCTTATTTTATATCTTTTTAAAGATAATCATAATTATTTTGCAAAAATAAAGAAGAAAGAAAGAAAGAAAACCATTTATTTTCGCGCAGAACACACATGAACTTAAAACTACAACAAAATCATTAATATAGGAAGCGAAAAGTAATCGTTACAGGAAAAAAATACAAAACAAAAACTTAAAATACTAAGTGTTAGAACAAAATTAATACAAATTCTGTCTATGGTCCACAAACAGAATATAATTGGATTTTTGATTGCTATTTGGTAGAGCATTCACAGTAGGCAGTTTCAGAGTAAAGGTAAAGTACTCGTAAACATACTAATATCTATGAGTCCTACCTTTGCCAGAGGTATTTCCGAACCAATACGAAATACAAACGCGTGGACTTTATCTTTAAAGTCGGATACCACGCGTGCGGGCGTCCATTTACGGCGAGGACTACTTACCATCAGTTCAGTTTCCCTCCATTACATAAAATAATTCAAAAAGTGTTCAACACGTAGAAATACAAGTTTGCATGCTCTAAAGCCTACGTTATGTAAATTTTTATTCTTTCCTGCAGCATCAGCGGCAGCGGACAGTCAAAACGGGTGGGGGGCGTTAGGCGGCCTGTACGCACTACTAGCCCAACACGACGCGCTCGGCGGTCATGCACTCGCGCGCAAATCCGTGCGCTCGCCTTCCCGTCGTCTTCGATTTGGACGCCGCTCTGACCCCGACATGCCTCCCCAAGCTCCTGTAAGTATAAAATTATATTAAATATGATATTTTAAGAATCCTGAATTCAAATGCTTACTTAAACTGAAGGTCAGAAGGCAGCGTCATTTCTACTGACCATTAGTTTTTTCTTGTTAAGGATATTAAGTGCGAAAATCTTTTAAAAATGTCGATTCACATTAATAAAATATAACGAGGAACTTTAGATCGAATGTAGAATAAGACACAGATATTTTATAGATTAAGAAGTCAATAAATAAATAACATGTTCTCTGAGTACTCTTAACAAGGTCAAATGTTTGAATCACTCATATTTAACGATTGTATTAATTTGAATACATCAGTAATCTGTCGGTTATCTAACATTTCGTCGCGTTCGCCGGCAATCCAATAAAGTCACATCTCCGGGAGACGTCTTAGTGAATTATCTCAATCAGATTCTCATATTTAAATGTCCCGCAATATTGAGTTACCTCGATGACATTTCGAGGTTACAATTTTTACTATTACATTGTTATAAATGATTCTAATATTATTATGTTCAACTAATTTAATTAGATGATTAAACTATGGTGAAACGTGCTTTAATTTGTCTATTATAAAAACCAGTCAAATGTTTTGAACTTAAAAGTGTTTTTCCAACTTGTTTATTTTAAGACACCTTTTACCTCTGAGTTAGTTTCGGCGTTTCTTCTCAGAGTAGGTAGTTAAATAGGAAATTCACCGGCTTCACCTGGTTTTGTTTTTATATATAATATTGACGTGTAAAAGTGCAGTTTCATTGCCTGTTTACAAATAAATTCAATGTTTCATTGACACAATCTTCAACAAGCTAACTAAACAAACTAACCTTCAAGTTATTAAATATCAAACTAGAAAACAAAATCAAATTCAATTATCGTACCATTCTAACACTCACCTCGTTAATGAAAGACTAGTGAATGGAGCAAATACCTTTATTTGCAATGCGAAATGAATATAAACAAACATCTGAGGGGAAGTCTCATCTCGAGTCTAGTTCTTCAACCCTTTTACGATGCATCCCCTCGGTATAGGAAAAATGTATCAAGATTCTCTATTCGCCGCTGTTTCTATTTACTCGCAATTGCTTTAGAAAATGAGTCGATTATGAGGATGGGTAAAACATTATAGAACCATGATTTCATACAATCAGTGTTTGTATCACATTGAGAGATATATTTTATAATATACTAGTTAGCTAGCTCTAGGCTTAGACCAGCGGATTCGCCATAGTACCAAAGTACAAAGGAGCTTTTAACTTATTCCGGACTATCACTATGCGAAATTCCATTCAATTTCCTTCAATAAGACATGAAAGAGTAACAAGCATATATCCATCTCAACTTCGAAACTTTCGCGTTTATAAAATTAATAGAGTATTATAGAAGTAATAAATACACAGGGAATTCTTAATAAAGCGGGCAACAAATGTAAAGAAAGCTAAATATAGGAACATTTAAAGTGAAGTGGCAGACGTAGGTCTTCCACAGAACCGCCGCGGTTTTGTGAGGGAAACAGGGAGGCTGTAAGTGTTTCTCGAGTGGATAATGCATTATAATGTTCACCGACGACCAGATAACGTTACGTACAGCTACCTACTCACTTACTCGGTGACGTAAAAGCTATCTCTCAGCCTTGCTCGCGTATTTTACTCTATCATGACCCTTCCTAACTGAACGACGATGATATGCCATTATTGGTGACTTGACTTACTAATAAATAAGTTATTTTTATCTTTGAACATAATAAAATAAATAAAAATAAAATCATACTTTCATCAATAAATGTTTTATATATTTTAGATAGTTTAAATATATTAACTGCACGGAACAACTCTTTGTGTGATCCACAAATTGTTGTTGCGGGTCTGGGTGTCATGTCTATGTGAAATTGTATCCGTAACCGCACCCACGACACAGGAGGAAATCCTAGTGTAGGGAAACGTTTATTTTTAAATAAAGAAAAATGTCTTTTTTTAAGAAATTAATGTGCTATTAGACGCCATAAAAAACAAACATGGCAGCATAATATAAAAATCAGACGATTTTAACAATAAGAAAAATATTGCATTCTACGAATTGTCATAATTATACACAATTCATTAAGAAAGGTTTAAATTTTAAAAGGAAGAAAGCCAAATCATTTTCTTTCTTAAAATGTTTAGCTAATCGTATTAGTTTTTGGTCGATACATTCCTTATGTACCTACTCAGCAACAAGTTGTGATCGAGTTCGTCACTAGTCAGCTCCACATTGATTTTATTGCATCTAAGATTTAACATGCTCTCTGAAGTGTGCAAGCGCCTTTACATATAAAGACGAACAAGAATGACTTATCTACAAAGAAAACACGGCAAGACTGCGCCCTGTAACTTATATAGTCACGACCCCTCACTTCTGTGTTCAAATCAAGACAAAGCCAATTTCATTAAATCCACCCCATTCATTCTCCAAATCTTTTATTACGTCTTCTATGTTATCTTGTTCAAAGATCTTAATTGTTAAGTTGTCCTCAACATACGTCACAACCGTACCTTTCTTCTTTTTGGTAAATTATATCTTAATTTCCTAAACCAGTGAATGCGCAAAGTAATTCGATTTGTCATATCTGACTTGTTCTGAATTATCAGTTCTCTCTGAGCGAGTAGTATGAACATATTGACTGTTTGTATGTGTCTCTTTTTTCATTTTTTGATTAGTTATTTCATTATGATTAGCGTTTGTCGCATACCTTTTAACATTAGGTATTACATCATTTTTATAATATAACTAACTTTTGCCCGCGACTCTTCGCTCGCGTGGAATAGTGACTTCCTGCAGATTTTTTATATAAAAACTATTCTATGTCCCTTTTCGAGTTCGGTTGAAATCGGTTCAGTACTTTAGGCGCAAAGAAAAAACAGACGAACAGACCGACAGACAGAGTTACTTTCGCGTTTATAACATTAGTTTGGAAGTTTGGATTTAATTACTAATAGGTACATAAAATATTCCAAAACAAAAATCGTACTTGTTATGCAACATTCAAAGAAATAAAGCCTTTGCAATTTTTAACGAGAAGAAATTATATAATCCCTTCGTCAAGTTAAGTTACGATAACAAGCGCTAACTTTTTTGAATAAAAATCCTCGTAATACTAAACTCCTCATAAACGGTAGTTAGTAATTAATATCGATAGTATAAAAGAGCTTTAGAAAACCTGCTTACAGCGGCTTTAGACCGCTAAATGAAACGGCTGCTGAATAAACTAATTTAGTTCGAGGTAAAATTTCTAATACCTACTTATTTAGTGTTAACCTGTGTTTGACGTTTTGTTAACAAAATGGAATTTATTCATTGAGCTGTATTTAAAAAGGTAAGCCACGTCTGTGTCCCGGCCATGGGGGTAGTTAGAAATCACATGGCACACGCATCCTTTTACGATCAAGGGCTGTACCGCTGCCCTACTCGGAGCTGGAATAGGAACGAGATGGTTTTAAGTCAGTAAGAATCTGACACTCCTGGCCCCAGCCATGGTCAGAGAAGTTATTTGTTGGCTTTAGGCTCTCAAAACAAGAACCTTATGGATAGTTAAATATTTATTTATCGCCTATCACATTCATGCATAAAGCCTTTTGTCTCTCAAGTTTTTACGACAATTATAACTGGCACTAACATCACACATATAAATTCCTTTCTATCTATAATGACAAATAAACAACAAAGTCCACATTTTATACCCACATATCGCCGACCGCGTCATTTTCAAGTTGAACGCATTTGTATAGGTAACACAATTTTGCTAACTTGTACACCCTTTCATCCCTAATTCTATGAAGCCTCGTCTTATCCCTCGCCCCATTAGATCTCCATATATGTATGTACAGCGTGGTACAAATTAATAGTTTTGCCCTTTATTATTAGGACACCTATAATTTTAGCGATAAAATTATACGCTTCAGTAAACTTTCGTGTTTTCGCCACTTAAATATTTTATAAGTATCTGTTAGACATTATGACGTTAGTGACCACGAAAATGTGAGAAGTTTGCTAAGATATTAAAGATGTAAATATAATGGTAAAAGCTATGGTCCCCACCTGAGTACTGTAAAGATATTTAGGCAGTTTCCCTACAAAATGAGGACATTCTCACAATTTCTTTTTAGCTAACTTTAAGATTTCTTCCGATGGAAAAGTTTTGAATGTTAACGTTGCTTTGTGAAGGTTACTAGGCTTTAATTTAATCATATATTAGACTTGCATGTTACTTGTTTCTTGAATAAATTGGGTCACGCACGTTGGACTGTAAATGTCAGCATTTTTATATGTTTTAGAAGTTATGTTATTACTACAGCTATTTAATAAATAATGTTTTGTTGCAGTTGGACGAGATGAACGAGCTGCTTTCCCTTCGCGAGGTTCGCACTCCCGTGCGTCTGCGTTTCGGCCGCCGATCTGAAGAACGCGCTGTGCCCCACATCTTTCCCCAGGAGGTAATAAAACAATTCTAACAAACATTAACTCAGAAAACAAAGTATTTGCTCAATCTTCAAGTAATTTAATTAAGTTTTAAATATTATTTATTTGGTGCTGGTTTTTCTATATATTTAACTGATTTTCATTTCAATCACACAACATCAAGAGATTAACAACCTACACGCGGCACCGCAAATAGTAACAGAACTGCAATACCAACTTATAGCAGCCTATACCCTCTAACACCTCGTAAAACTATAAATATCCTGTGAAAAGCGAGGTATCTACTCCAAGATCCTATTGATTCGAACATCGTAAAACCCTTGATGTCGTGTAAACCCGAGTAATGAAGTTATTCCCTCTAACAAGCCACTATAAGATCTTTTACGACAATTGACCAAGTTTTATGATCGACCTTTTTGTAAAACAATCAGACGATACCATTATTTGAAAAGCAAATTGTATTGTCGTTACCGATTAGATTACATTTTAAAATCAGGTAGGCAATACTTAATGGCCTATTTGATACCTTAACGATTGTATGGATTTCTTGTTCATATTTAAGTACTAATAATACAACTAAGTTCATAAAAGCCGTTCATAAACTTTAAAACTACTGAAGCGAAACCTATTAAAGTTCATATTATTATTAGTTAGCAAACACGGTATTTAACATTTTAAGAAATTAGTTTTCCATGCTTACATTTACTAAAGAACCGCAACTAGCACTAAAATTATAAATTGGAAACTGACGTCATTTAAATTTTCATTCGAAATAATCAGTAAGTAATATAAAAGAAAGTTCGGTTTCCTCTGTCCCTATATTCGCACGTGTATGCTTACATCTTGAAAGCTAGGCAACAGATTTTGGTGTGGTTGTATTAATAGATATAGTGGAGTGATTGAATAGGAGTTTATATTTATAATAACATCCTTTAAATAGTGGAGAAATGTCATATCAGCTTTGAACCCGTGCAAAGCCAGGACGGGTGGCTAGTAATCATAAATTGCATCGTTAATATAAGTCGAATTAAAATGAAACTAATTACACCCTAATATGAACATGTCATCAAACATGCGTCATTTCAATAAACATGTTATAATTAGAAGCAAACGCGTGGGACGTTGATTACTAAGAATCCTTCAACACATTTTATTCTACAGAAATGATAGCAAACAATGATCTAATCAAATCAATCAATTAACGTATGACATATGTATAAGCGGCGAGGTTAATATTTGTGCACCTCCCAATCCTTAGGGCCGTCAGCCGTCAATAATTATGTTACATTATTTGCACGACATTGTTAGTAATAATCCCGCCCCTTATAAAGACCTTGAGGTGATGGTTTAGTCGCGGTTGCTTTTCCATTTGAAGATATGTTATTGGATTAATGCATGCGATTCAATAATGTAAAGTTCCATTCATTCATTGACATAAAGATGAAATTCTACTCATTTTCTCAAAGACTACTAATATTTATGGTTGTATAGTAATCAATAAATTCAATATGCAAACAAGAGTCAGAAAGTCAACTTGGAAAGATATTATATTATAGTCATATGATTCCTTATTTATCTGTTCTCCTAAGTTTTTCATATATTTATAATAAATGAAGTATAGTTTTTAACACAGGAGCAGGACCGTGCCGTGCGTGCCCCTTCCATCCGTCTCCGGTTCGGACGCCGATCGGACAACAATATGTTCTTACTCCCCTACGAAGTAAGTAATTTTGTCAACAATTACAATAGTTTATATATGTAAAGACATTGGCTATAATGTAATTTTTGTCGTATAGATTACGACAATGTTTTGTAATTATTTTGTCCTGTTTACATTACCCTCATAAAATTATTTCTGCCTCCGACATTTAACTTTTTAACACATAAATTATTCACAGCAAACTAAAAGCCGGTCGTAATTATACACTTAAAGATTCAAATGTAAACGCGACAAAATATTCTAGCATTTATTTTCTGTGTTTCCCGTCCTATTTACAGTTTAATGTTTGTGATGTTCTAGTTATTCAATTTAAATATTGCCTACGTTTTGAAGGTGTGAAAAGTAACATGTAATGTAGAATATACCTACATTTCCCTTAGCGAATGTAAAGTTCCGGATATCGTTCAGACATCTTGCATTGCTAATGTTGTGTAAATTTGGTTTCAGTCGGCCCTGCCCCAGGAAGTTAAAGCCAACGGCTCCGTGGAAGACGACAGACAACAGGAATAAATGCAACATATCCGTATACACTATCTACATATAAATACACCCGCCCCGTCAGAACTTTTATTAACAATTCTTTATCAGGGCACTACGTCCGATCAGTACATATTTATGTGTCATATTAAACAAAATACATTCGATTTTTAGATGTTATTCAACTTAATTATAAGCTATGTGTACATAATAATCAGTTAGTACCTTGTATGTTTTAACCAATATATTATTAGACGAAATATATTATTATCAAACTTTTACTCGGTTCTTGGAATTGGTAATAAATAAATAATTTGATTGACTTGTCAAATGCTTTCTTCGACAGCTACAAATGTTATAAATGTTAAAAATTGATATCGATGATATTCTAGTCAATATGAAGTAAGACTGTCTCTTTTATTTGATCTCTGTTTCGAATTTGTTGAATTTGGTGCGTAATACAATGAAGAGCAAATTTTGAATCTGGTTTAGTTGTGGGTCAAGTGGATCGTATCCTACACCTATTATAAAAAAGTTGTCGTTGATTGGAAGTATATTTGCTGACTACGCATTGACTAAGTTCGGAGTTTGCTCTTGAATATATTGTGGACTGCACATGTATGTATATGACATGAACTTGCTGCGAAGAGTTGTACATTTTAAGAGCTGGGCAAATGTAAAACTTCTTCGCCTCGTAGGTACTATTTGATTTGATCTCTTGGTAGCTAACAGAACAGAATCGTAGTTGAACTTAGATCATTATGCAAATACATTATTTATTATATTAAGTGTAGTGAAACTATGTTTAGTTTTGTATGGATATTATAGAGCAATTGATGAGTTGAAAAATAAAATATTTCCAAGGGACATATTCGTGTTTTATTGTTTTTTTCCCCAGCTCCAATCACTGCAGTACCTATGTGTCACCGCGTGAATGAGGTTATTGGAGACCCAATCCTTTCCATAATGGACACAATTAAATTATTGACATCACATCATCAGCTTATGATAGCTCACTGCTGAACAAAGGCTTCTTCTAACTCGGAGAAGCTTAGAGCATCAATCTCCACGCTTAATCAAGGCGAAATGGAGATTTTAAACTTATAGCTAGCAATTATTGGTTGGATGGCAATAGTTTCTAAATAATCATAAAAAGTACATACATATAGAAATCGGAAAAAGTCACATTGGTGCTTGTCAGTGGACGCCTGACACCACACGCCACACACACACACACACACAAATTATTACTTGAAAAAAAACTTCTCCCATTTTCCACCCTTTTTATGCCTAACATAGTGAGCCAAATGCCACAGAATATCTGCAAATGTCAGAAACTGAATAAAATTGATTTAGACATTAGAGTTCGGATTTCGAATTTAATGATACGTGACATAATCCGCCATTGTTAGTGTTAGCCGAATCAGTTAGAGTGCACTTATATAACGGTTAGTGTCAGAATTGATGTTGTTTCAGGTGAAAATGTGTCTGTGCAAATTTATAAGATAACTCTTTGACGAAAATAAAATGTATACCAGCAGAGGTTTGACCGAAGTGATACCAGGGCCTCACAGAAAATCGGCGTGAAACTATCGCAACGTTGTGTTTCGCTATGTGAGTGAGGTTACCTAATCCATAAACCTCCAAAATCCTAATCTCAAAAAGGCCGGCAAAGCACTCGAAACTCTTCTGTAGTTGTGGGTGTAAATGGACGGCGTCGATTGCTTACGATCAGGTCTGCTCGTTTGCCGACCTATCCCATGAATAAAAACATTCTAGGAAATCCCATACCAGCGTTTAATGTTAGGCGTTGAGAATATTAGATAATTTAAAAGTTAAGATTATTTGCGCTATCCAGCAAATCGAAGCCAACGAGCTCAAGTAGAAATTTATTAATATCGATGTAGGTTCTACCAAATCCTTAAAGAATGATAAAACATTGTATTTTTTAATAAAAATACCAGAGGTTACTGTTAATACCTAAATATTAAAGGAGGTTTCAAAATGATTAATCATAAACTGTTATCGGGTTCAAAATTTCTACGAAGGTGAAATGGCGATGAAATGTCACGCTACTGTAAAAATGGCGTGGAAATATAGATTCTGCTAATTATGTTAGTTGTTTTTTGACTAATTAGTGTATACTTGTTTATACTTATAATACTTATAGGTGGGGTAAAAATGAAAATGTCGCACTTCTAAATTATATGGTCTTCTGTCTTTTCTACTACCTACGTTTACCGTGATGGTGTTCGGTATGGTTGCACCGTTCTTGGACTGATCCTGCTTTATATTTATTACCATTCATTCTAGCAAAGCTCACACTTTCATGAGGAAGGATTTGCCGTCAATAATTTGACAATTTCCTACATAGTCGTCCACGCACTCGTCAGTCGTGACTCTTTCGGTGATACTGCAGTGACTGCTCTCACCATTAGGTAATCTGCAAGCTCTAGTAGACCGACTGATAAATATTAGCAAAGGAAAAAAATATTTTCCAGTAATCGTAGTATATGTTAGTAATCATCATCTTGACAATCTTTGAAACTTAAACAAAGTTAAAATCAAAGTCAAATCTTTTATTTTTCTATCATGGGACTTTTGGCCTTCAAACAAAATAATTATATGTAGATAACATTGTTGGTCTGACAGTCGAAACCTCGTACAGCTATTCGCTCGTTCCAAAATATAGACTTCTGTGGAGATGAACGAACAAGCCATGGGTTTTTATAATGATACCCATGCGATTGTTACTTATTTTTTTAAACAATGGAATATAGACAAGTCAATTTAATTTAAAAAGTAATTATCCTACAAACCTTTAACTGAAAAAAAAGTTTCCAAAGACAATTATTACTTTTAGACTCCTTTCAACAAAGACACCAACAGTTTACGTTTAAATCCTTATTTCTTGAAAAAAATATTCTAGAGTTTGATTAGTCTTATTGTTTCTTTACTTATTGTTGGCCTCTTTCAAGAAATAGTATTAAAATATTGCTAAATGGGTAATTTCCAATTTAAAAAAGGTAAAAACTCTAAAATATAGATATAATCAACTGGACTTTTTGGGTTATAAATATTTTACCTACATTAACCATAACTCAGAAATTTAATGTATGTTTTCAACATTTGATGTTTTCTTTATTTTTCTGTATTTGACCATTTCCTTTTTTCTAAACACTAATAACAAGCAGGTATCAATTCCTTGTTATAAAAAAAACCGTTTTTATCATATAAACTAGCTGATTCACGTATTGGACTCGAATCCCGGATCAAAAAAGTTTTATTGGGTAGCAGACATAATAGAAATAAAAATATAATGTCATAATATCGTACATACATACATCAAATATCTTGCCCTTGTAAAGTGGTATGTTTATAGATTTAATTGGTCGAAAAATATCAAAGAGAAATACTAGTCTAGCACATTTCTATAGTCTCCTATTACGATTAAAATTTCAAACTTCTTCAGTATATAGGTATTCCTAATTTATCAAAACAGTCATTCAATAATCATTCTTGAAAGAAAGCTTCGATATCGGCCAGTGGGGCACTAATAAATAAATCATTACATACAGAAAAACATATACTCCATTTTTAAACTTAGAAGATTAAATAAAACTGTTTTTAAAGTAGGTCATCATCGTAATAATTAAGTGGGAATCTAGAAAACATTCGCGAACTTAAATATCAACTAACTAGGCCAGTGCAGTGAATGTTTTCACTCAGATTTAGGTTACATAAGCAATAGATCTAAAGCTGTTCTCTTAAAAGTTTGTTTTGCAAAAGTTAGTTATCACATATGATTTTCTACTTAACGTGAAATTTATTTATCTTGACTTACGTACTTATATATACTTAACGTACGGCAGTTAATTGTTTCTTATGATTTTAAAATGTTAAGGATTAAGATTATAAAACTATAAACGAGTTATGCTGTTCACGATTAAGATTAATTAAAAAAATCGAAGGTATTCGATATGAAAAACTGAGCTATGACGTCATAACATTTTTGCGTCAAATAGCTTACTTATTTCATAATAATTAGCTAAAAAATATCTAAAACTTAGTGTATCGATCGATCGATGAATAAAAGTATAGTTATTTTTAAATATTTAATTATATTAAATCGTCGAATTAATTTATTTTTGACCTAGGACACTACCCAATTAAAGCTGAAGTAGAAAACCATTATGTACATACATTTAGCAAAAGAAAACAATACCTATATATCTTCTGTCTTTGTCATTTTGGGCGTGACGTCATTGACATGTCATTTGTTTTCTTTTTACATTCAGAATAAAGGATGGATAATAGAATTAATGGTATATTTGAATTTAGAAAGAGAACAAGATATGTTATTTTTGGGGTCCTCATTTTTTTTTTTGTATTCAAATTACGAGCTATCGACTTTCGCATTTCGCAGTTGCCCCAAGTCAGTCAGTCACAGTCAAAGGGTTTCGACTAAGCGAACCTGCTGACGGTGGTTTCTATCAAGAGTCGAACCATACCAAATAGGAACAAATGAGATTACTGGCTTTCAAACTTTCAAGAGGATATCGAAATCCACAGAAGAAACAATAATAGCGAGCAACTTTCTATCCATCGCCCAGCAAACGTCATCCATCAGTCACTTTATGCAGAGCCGTGGGTAAAAGTGATGCGACCAGATAAAGAGAGAAATATCATGCTAAATAGCTACATTGTGACAAAAGAATTTACAATTTGTTCCTCTTTCACGAAATACGTTTCAAACGACAAACGTCTACGATTTTAAAATAGGTAATATAATCAGCAATGTAAAAGGTTGTAACAATATATGTATGAACTGTCTGCCTATAACAATTAAGTACTCTAATAATATAATTGGCGGAGGAAAATGTCCAAGGTACTGCATATCTCTGTTTACCCCATTGTAGAATAACAAGTATCGTATAATTTGTAGTTTTACTGTAAGACAACTGTACAAACCTTATTATCACTGATACCAAAGTAAGAGATCGGTAAGAGATCGCCTCATCTGTTCGCTGCTGCTAGTGACATTCAATTTACACGTAGCACAAATTTCTCAAGACAATACTCTAAACGATATTACGCAATACTCCGCCGTCTTGCAAGTATAGGTATCGAGAGCATTTCGAGAGAGTTTGCAAGCAATCGCAACAGGCTGCCTGCAGATAATATCTTCGAAGGAAGAACACTTGTCAATGTGTCACCAACACGCACCTTCATCTTCCAATCGATAAGGATAATATTGCCGTGATAGCGTTTTGTTCGCAGCTCTGAAATGCTAATTGTATTGTTTTGACAATTAAATCATCGTGAGGCGGAGTGGCTTGAAAAGATGCAGCAGAAAATGAGTCTATTTATAAGTTGTGATTAAGAACTGAAATGTTAATAATAGAATTGTTATGTCGTTTGTTATTGTTTTCGAAGGTATATAAAAAAGCGGCCAAGTTCGAGCCGGACTTGCTCATGAAGGGTCCGTAGCAAGAAGTGACATAATTTAATAGATTTTTATTTAAAGTGGAAGTTATGTCATATTTTGTTATTTACAATAAGTTTGTTTATACAACAAACATTATGGCACTGTTGAAGTGCTTCTAGCACAAACTTTTTCAAAAAATAAAGTATTGGAAACCGCAATATAATTTTTGACAATTTTACTTAATAGTTTTAAGTGTGGGTATTTTTTTGTGTAAAGTACACGATTTATATAGTGACTGCATGCTGAAAGACGGACAGATACACCTAACAAATCAACGAGAGTTCCGTTTTTACCATTTGCTATCGAACTCTAAAAAGGTTAAAATTACCAGAAAAATCTTCACTGAGTGTTCCCTAAAAAGAACGTGAACATGTCA